TTTCAACCGATTTGAAAGGTACTTTAGTTAGTTTTGCCTCAACACAAATTTCACACTTGTTATTTGTGTCAATTTGGAAGTTAGGAATATGGTCCATGCTAATTAATCTACGCATAGAATTAAAATTAACATGGCCTAGTCTACCAAGCCATAAATTGGAAGACTCAAGCAAGTAAACAGAATTAACTTTGCTTTTATTGATAACAGGAATTACACTGAGCTTAAACAGCCCATCAGTTACATATCCTTTACCAACAAACATCCCTAACTTGGACAAAACTACTTTGTCTGACTCGAACACCATGCGAAAGCCATGCTTGTTCAACAGAGAGCCAGACATAAGATTCTTCCTCAGCTCAGGAACATACAGCACGTTGTTCAACGTCAGTTCCTTCCCGGAAGTCATCTTCAGAACCACCTTGCCCATGCCTTCCACATCAGACTGAGCAGAGTTTCCCATCCACACCTTTTCACCCTCAACGGTCTCAAAGGTGTTGAACATCTCTCGGTTGCAACACCAGTGCCTGGTTGCACCGGTATCAATGAACCACTCATGAGGGTTTGAGCCCACGAGGTTCACCTCGGTCACCATAGCCGAAAAGGCTAATCTCGACCTCCTTCTGACTGCTATCTCCAACAACGTTGGCTTCAGAACTCTTGTTCTTCTTCCTTGGAGCCTTGCATTCAGATGCTCTGTGGCCATGCTTGCCACAATTGTAGCATTCACCAGGAAACTTGTTCTTGGTAACGCCACCTTTCGGACCTAGCTTTCGCTTGTCCTTCGTGTTCCTCTTGGAGCTCTTACCATGCTCCACAACATTGGCCTTAGCGCCAACAACGATAGGAACTTTCCTATCATTCGTCCTGTTCCCCTCCTCAATCCTGAGTCGCTGGATCAGGTCCTCCAGATTCATTTCCTTTCGCTTATGCTTAAGGTAGTTCTTGAAGTCATTCCACCCTGGAGGCAACAAATGGATCACAGATCCCACTTGGAAGGCTTCACTTAACACCATACCCTCGTCACAGATCTCATCGAAGATTAACTGCAAATCTTCTACCTGACTTAGCACGATCTTTGAATCAACCATTTTGAAGTCGAGGAATCGGCCAACTACAAATTTCTTTGAGCCGGCATCCTCACTTCGGTATTTATGATCCAAAGCTTCCCACAACGCCTTTTATGTGCTTATCTTTCGATATACATCATATAGCGTGTCACACAATCCATTCAGGATGTAGTTTCGGCAAAGGAAGTCCGAATCCTTCCAATAGCCAACTGCCATCACGGATTGTGCATCTTGTTCCTTCAAATCGGGAACCTTCTCGGACAAGAACCTTGCCAAGCCGAGAGTTGCTAGGTAGAACAACATCTTCTGTTGCCACCTCTTGAAGTTCGAACCAACACCGGTGAACTTCTCCGGCTTTTCTGCCGAACCACTCGGTACCGAAGGTACCCGAGACATGGGAATATATCCCTCAGTGCTCCCACCATCTTGTGAACCAACGTTCACTGGTGTAGCTTGGGAATTAGCAACATTGTTGCCATTCCCTCCACTGTTATCAGCAACAACATTATTGTTTCCGTTTCTTCCATTGTTGTCCGCAACAACATTATCCTCCCCATCAATTGGCAGTACGGGATGCTCCATTTTCTTCAAGGAAATTCGGAGAAGACCACCAACGGGAAAACAAATAAATAAGATTTTAAGACTGTTGGAACCGTTGGTAGAAAACAACTATTAATCAAATAAAAATTGATTATTATTTTCTGGAAAGAAGGGAAGAAAAGATGAAGAAAAGTGGCTAGTGTTTGGTGTTGGGTTTTTGCAAGAGTCGAGTGAGCACTCTTTCCTTAAAACCTTATTTGCCACCTCCCGTAGATGCTAGGATCGTTGTGGCCTAGGCTTCCCAGGATAAAACTTGCTAGTGATTCAATGTTTGAGCACTCAAACAAGGAATCCGGCGAGCAAGACACGGCTATGAACACAGTATGGCTAAGAAGGAGTAGAAGCAGAGATTTTTGAAGCTGGAAAATTATACTTTCGTGTTGTGTAATTCTGTTCTCACTGTGTGTAAAACTCTACTGCCTCTACCCTTTCTTATATAGGGTTGAAGGAGCCAATAGCCTTTATTATGGCAATTAAAAAAGACATTAAAGCTGTCTTCCAACAGCTATAACAGCAGGCCACTACCTGGGAATTGAATTCAGAATTCAAAAATTAGAATTAATAAACAATTAATTCCGTAACAGATGAATTCAATCCCCTCAACAGTCAGAACTTTCGGGTTCCAGACCGTTAGCGTACAGGGTTCGGTCTCAACTTTCGACCTCATCCAGTTTCGGCCCTTGCACCTTTCGTGGACTCTGTTGCACGAGAGTTGTGCTCTCTGTGTACCACAACCTCTCGTGCTCTCTTGTAGCACGAAAGTAGGTGCTCTCGGTTCGGTTCTGGCCGAACCTTGTAGCACGAAAGTAGGTGCTCTCGGTTCGGTTCTGGCCGAACCAAGTGGCTATACCAGTTGGAAAATGATACCGAAGTTTGGCATAACTTAGCCCGCAAGGCTAGCCAATTTCCGGATGACATTCGTGCCCCCAGGTGCCGGCGCACACGAGCTCGGGCTTGAATCAAGCCTTTTTCAATCTCTGCTAGTTGGAATTTGATTTGCACCCCCCCCCCCTCCCCCCCGCGAGAGAGAGCCTCTATGCTATACAATTCTACAAGCTTCAAAAGTGCTCTTGTATATAAGGGGGGGGGGGGGGCGGGGGGGGGGGGGGGAAATCTTCATTCCAAAGCAATGTGGGACAAAAGCCACTTTTTCCCATCATTTTCCAACTCAAATGGGTCTACTTTGAGAATCAATATCTCATTCACCCATTATCCGTTTTGAGCGTACAATATATCAATCTCTTCGTCTCACTACGAAGTATCCGAATCCACTTTGACACGACCCAAATCGGAAGTGGACCCCACTGATAATTGTACCACAAAATAGCCACTTAACATGCCATTTTATGCCATTTTAAGCTATTTTTTCCAACAAAATTAAACTCTAGTTATGTTGAGATGAAACTGTAATGTATATAAAATGAAACTGAATATGTTAGAAAATCAGAAGAAATTACGCGGAACGGGTGTTGTTTCTTTTCATTAAAGGAAACGGCACTGTTTTGGACCATGGTCCACAATAAAATTTGCCACTATATATGACTCAATCCATTTAATGGACCTCAAAATGTTAAAATCCACACCGTTTCATCGCTTTTCACCAATCTTCTTCTAGTTTTACTAAGATTTCAATCGGAATTGATTACTGTTCACCACAATTTCTTCTCACCTATTTCTTCAATTTTCGCTAAGATCTTGATTCAATTTCTCATCATTGTTCACCTTCCTTATATGTGATTCTACTCTGTTTAACTTGTTACTTTTAGTGTTGCACATGTATAGAAAGCAATCCAAAGATCTGTAAATGATTTTGACCATTTCTGGCAAGTGAATTGGTTTCCTCCGAGGGCGATTGAATTTCTCTTCATTGTTCATCTTCTTTTAAGGTAATTTAACTATAGCTATTTCGTTTGCATTCTTGTACGGATGTAAAGAGAAAACACAAAATCAGTAAGGATTTTTTACTACAACGCTCTGCTACCCACTCCGCCAAGCTCTAACCATACCTCTAGGGTTACAAGCAAAATATTTGTATGCAACCCTAAAATTGTACATGTACAAAATTACCCACGTACTGTATCGGGTGTTGCCCTCGCAACCCTAACCCGCTTTTAATACCCACTTTTCTTCGTTCCATCCAACACCTATCATCTTCTCCATAACGCGATTTCTAGCATTTCAAGCAATTGAACTTGTTTCCACCAACGAAGACTAACTTTTTCTGTCATTGTTTACCCTTCCTTCTAGGTAATTATACTCTAATCTTTAAGGAATTTTACAATTTCAAGCAAGTGAACCCATTTTTTTTAATTATGAAATTTCGATTTATCATCACTGCTCACATTGTTTTTAGATAATTATATTCTATTTAACTTTTCACTACTTGTCTTATACAGGTATAGATCGATAACAAACTATAAATCTACAAGTGATTTCTATTATTTCAGCAGGTGAACTCATTCACTCCAGGGAAGAAGACCGAATTTCTAATTATCAATACATTCCATTAAGGTAATTCTACTCTATTTCACTCACATTACTTTGTCTTACATAGGTGAAGAGTGCAAATGCTAGATATATAAGTGATTTGTACCATTTTAGAAAGTCTATTATCCTTTAATTTGTTACAATAACAGAAAGCAATTTAATCTAATCAGCTATATATTATACTTCTTTGAATGAATAACTATATATATGATCTTATATTAATAAAAATGCTTGTGATGAAAATATGCATGTTATTTATGGTTGAATTTTGTTTGGGTGTTGTTCAACTAGTGGTACAATGGGCATTGTCAATGTGCTTGGGCTGGGTAGAAGATGAAGATATTATAATAAAAAGGGAAAAAAAACATTATAGAAGTCTTTGAGAACTTTAATTTGCTTATTTTATTTGGATGAGAATAGAAAAAAGAAAGTGTATGAAGATATTTTGAGGAGAAAATGCGCTTAGGAATTTGGATAAAACAACCCAATCCTATGTTTTATTAAAGATTCTTTCCTTCAAAAATTGAGAAGAAAGTCAGGGAAAATGAATGATAAATAATATGAGAATAACATAAGGATAAAAGAAGTTATCCACTTATTTTGTTAAATATTGTTTTGATAATTTTTAAATTCAAAATTTTGTTTTTATTGTTAATAATACAGATATAACATCTAAATATACAAAAATTTTCATTAACAATAAATTTAATACATAAAAATTGAATTGTAAACATATAACTCGAATTTGAACTGAATAAATAAAATAAGATTGATAAATTATTTTTCACTAGTTCCCATCCTATCTCTATGTTCCTTTTCTTATATTTTCTCTTCCATTGTCTTCCCACAGATGTTTTACCCATATAAACAACTAGTCCTGTTGTATTAAGGACATAGAATTACCAAAAATTTCTAGTTTCCATGTGTATTGTAGAGGTATAACAATGTTTATGTTTCAACATTTTTTTTTGTTTGGCTTTGTAGAACATGGCACAACTTGAACCAGGTCCCATTTGCAATTCTGTTCTTAACCGACAACAGCTTCATAGATCTACTCGAGTTTGGGAAGGATCTCGTCGAATAAATAAATCCTTAAAGTGTTGCAGATATGATAGTTCATTTTGGAGCGCAAAAAACGAATTTGATGATAGGGTTATGACATACATTCAACTGGCAGGTTTTGATGGGTTGTCGAGATTGGAAAGGATACATTTGGATTGGTCTTTGATCACTGCAATGGTGGAGAGATGGCGCCCAGAAACTCATTGTTTCCAACTTCCATTTGGGGAAGTCACCATCACATTGCAAGATGTGGAGATTCTTTTAGGACTGCGCATTGATGGCATGCCAGTGACAACTGTCCAAATGAGAACAAAAGATGAATGGTCTGACATATGTCATGACCTCCTCGGCATTAGGCCTAACAGTAACTCAATTTCCGGGAGCTCTCGTTTGGTAATGACATGTCTAAAGAACCCGACACCACTAACAGAGCATTCAACTGATGAAGACGTGCAACGCATGGCCCGACTACATATCATGCAATTACTAGGTGGAACGTTATTTCCTGACAAGTCAAACAACATGGTGAGACTATGTTTCTTAGACCACATCAGAGATTTGCGTAGTGCCAACAACTACAGTTGGGGAAGTGCTGTTCTTGCTTTTTTGTATCGAAGCATGTGCAGGGCAGCCATGGGTAATGCTAATCAAATTAGCGGTGCACTCATTCTTCTTCAATTGTGGGTTTGGGAGCGTATCACCTTATTCTCTCCGAACATACACTCCCTCCCTCAGGACCTAATAGATCGACCTAGAGCTGCCAGGTATATATGTATACTAATTTATTTCAAAACTATACTAATCTAAGACCATGTGTTAAAAAAAAAATGGTCCAATAGGTACCGCTCATCAAAAAGGCAGGAACATAAAATTTTTTAAAAAATAAAACAATTATACTAATTTATTTCAAAATTATACTAATCCAAGACCATGTTTCTTAGTTTCTACTTTCTGACAGGTAAAATTATTAGTCACTACACTAACCACTACTTACTATGCTATTTTTAGGTGGTGTACTTCTAAAGAATTTGGCGATGTAGCCAGTCATGTATTAAAAGTTTACAGGGATCAACTTGACAATATGAAAGAGGACAGTCATGTATGTACCAAGATACTTATATTCTAATACACACAGTACTGAAACATGCAAACCACTTAATGTATTAATAATTCAATTGCATTTTTGAGTGCAGTTTAAATGGAGACCATATGAAAACGAGTTGGATGAGTTACCAGATTATTGCAAAGCAGGGAAGCACGTCTGGATGACGAAGTCTCCTCTGATCATGTATGAGATTGTAGAGTGGCACTTACCAGACAGAGTTCTCCGCCAGTTTGGGAAGTTCAAGCAGCCGCCCCCGGCCAACTTTGACACCGGAGTAGACTTGCACAAGATTGATGGGAGAGGGAAAAGGGGCACAGACTGGAGCACTAGGCACATGAAATACTTGTTTGAATGGGAAAGCCGCGAAGAAAATGTCGTGAATGCGGTGGCTGATGATGATAATGACCAAACGTGGTTAGAAGAATACGAGAGATGGTATAGCTTGATTGCACGTCGTGTCATTACCAACCCAGTCCACCGTCCTGAAAGAGGATTCATGCCTTTAGCGTCAAAGCTAGAACACTTGGTAAGTTAATACTAACATAATAATAATAATAAATTTGGCAAATCAGAATTCAATATATTGATTCTGAAGATATATTATTAGTCCAAGAAAAATTTAATTTGTTTGATCAATATATGCATGCAGGTGAGGGTTACGCATAAGATAAGTGGGATGGCCAGAGAGGGTTTGGAGAAAGCTGGAAATGCAGGTGAAGGCTATGCTGCCATTAAGGAAGCGTGTGTTAAAGCTTTGACCCTCATAGGGGAAGATAGGAGAGTTGAAATTCAACCCAATGATGACATCCGGCCACAGGATGATGATGATAATGGTGGTGGTGCTCCGCCAAGGCGTGATGCTCGCCGTGAGCGGCGCAGAGAGCCGGGCAACGACCCCCGGCCTAGAAGAGGTGGGAGGAGGAAGAAGGTTAGAGTGGATGAAGGTGGTGGTGCACCTCAGAATTGAGTTATTAATAAATATTATATTGTGACCATCCATAGCTTCTTAGCTTGTCTGTCACTTCTTGTTTTGCTGATGAGGAAACACCAAAAAGGTGTACCACTGGAGAAAATGAATTATTGTTACTGACTTACAGGAATGAATGGTGTACTATAACATGTTTCTTTTGTGGCTGCAAATTGCTGGGTTTTCTCTAATGGCACTTGAATAGGGGAAAATGGAGGCTATATGGGACTTCTGTATCATTGAGGACAAGCTAGGATCAAGTTGAGGGGAATGGAAGGGAACTCTGTCATGTTGTTGAGGTTAAATTTCAATTTTTTTAGTTGTCTGATCTGATCTACTCAATTTTTTTTAGTGTACAATCAACCTGCTCACCTTCTCCAATCAATAGACTTTTTCAATTATATAGATTACAAATTCCACATAAGACTTCTATCAAACACATGGTGGGATTGCTAATCAATAACAAAGCAAAAACAGAGAAAACTGGAGCAAATTAATCTGAACCTCACATAAATTGAAACAAAAGTAATTTCTGATCCAACCAATAGTTCATAAAAATTAATGAGTGAAGGTTTTGGGATTAAAGAAATGAATTGAAGAAATAACCTGATATTGTTTGCGACGTTATTGCACACTTGTGTCGACTCCACACCCTTCTACCACTCTTCTTTCACTCTCCTTATGATGCAAGCAAAGGAGGAAGAGAATTTTAGGGTGAAAAGAGATGTAAACACTTGTATGAGTTGTCTACGGATCATCTGTTTATTTTTTTTTTCCTTGTTTTTGTTTCTCAAATTAAATTTTTGTTTTGTTTTTTTTTTTATAAATAAAATTAATATATAAAAATATATCATTAAAAAATTCTAATTGAGATTTTTAAATGATGTTCGCATTGATTTTCATTTATTTTTTAATTAAATCTATAGTTACATAAAATCATTTCTTTAATATAATGTATATGTAAATTTAAATTTGTTTTTACTAATATATAGAAGATAATACAGAGTAAATGGAGAAAGATTTGATGTATCAATACTATCAATAGTTTAGTGTTTATTACATGAAGATTTAGGTTTGGAGTCGCAATAACTCATTCTTTCTCTTTGGAGTCTCAATGACTCATACTTTCTCTTTGAATGAACGAGGTAAGAACTTCATCATAGTGTGAATGAACCTATCTGGGCACGGCATCTAGCCGACCTAATACTCTGTTTGTCCACCGAACCACTCTCTTGGTTCTATACTCTAACTCTGTGGAATCAGGTATCGAACTTTTAGTGTGCACACCCTCTGACCAGGATTCCAAGCCTGGCGGGCAGTTTCCAACCTCGTAACGTATGTAAATTAAAATTTGTTTAATTTGTTTTTACTAACATATAGAAGATAATACAGAGTAAATGGAAAAAGATTTGATGTATCAATAGTTTAGTGTTTATTACATGAAGATTTAGATTTATGATTATATAGAACAAATGGTATGAACATAGTACGACATATTGAATACTACTAAACATGACGCGTGAATGTTTATGTATATTAAGCTTTATTTTAAAAAATATAGAATTAACATTATAGACTTACTATAGAGTAAATAGAAGTAGATATGATGTACTTGCAATTTAATGTTTATATACATTAAGGTTTATGTTTATGAGCATATAAAACAAATTTTATCACTTGTACAAAAGAGGGAACACTCCTTATAAATTAGAGTTTTCGCCACCTTTTTTTTTTTAAAGGTGATGTTTGGTTAAAAAATGTGTGGTGACAAAATTGTAAATAAATTAATTAATAAGAAACCACGACCCTTTATAAACAAATTAAAAGGGACATGATTCTTTAAAAAAAAAAACTTGTCGAGTTTCCATGACCCTTTCTAGAAGAATGGGTCACGGAAACTTGATTAAAATAAAATAAAGAAATTAGAACATTTCACGACCCTTTTTTGAAAAAAGTGTCGTGGGAAAGTCCTTCGCAAAACCAAATCCACATCGCAACCATACCAGGGCGTCCTCAATCTCTTATCTTCTCTTCTCCTCTGATCTCCCAAAACCTTCATTGTTGCCGTCGTTCGTCATCTCTCCTTCGTTGTCGTTTACCCCTTGTTGTCGTTCCACCACCGCCACCCTTATCCGCCATCTCCTCTCCTCACCTCTCCTCTCAAAAAACCTCCATTGTTGTTGTCATTCATGGTTTTTCCATTGTTGTCGTTGTGCCATCGCCACCCTCATCCCTCATCACTGTTCGACCATCTCCATTGTTGTCGTTGTAGCCTTTTCAGAAATTCATATCTTATCTTTGATGCTGTGTCAGAAAATATTCCAGTCATCTTCTTTGAGCTCCAAGTTCACGCAAATAGGCTCTCAAAATATGTCTGTTGTAGATCACGCCTACTGGGAAATTTAATCTTCAAAATTTTTGCTCCAATTTAGTCTCTTTCTATTTTGGACTACTCACTTTCCTTTTATAACTTCAGCTCATACTTCTTCTCAATTTGACGGCTACACTTTAGAATTTGCTGTATTTCATCTCCAATTGAGCCCCAGAAGGAATCTTGACTTTGCAATCTCATCCTAAGGAATCTTGACTTGCAATCTAATCCTAGAGAGTCTTGACTTGCAATCTCATCCCATAGACTTGAAATCTTCGCCCATTGTAATTTTATCTCACCTTATTTGAAATCTCCGCCCAAACTTGCTGCCCCATCAGTCTTCTCATTCCAATCGATACCCAATACTTCTTCTCATCATTTCAATTTTGAAATTGCTTTCCAATACCAATTGCTACCCAAACTTCATGTGCCCCATCATTCTTCTCACTCCAATACCCAATACTATACTTCTTCTCAATTTAATACCCAATACTATACTTCTTCTCAATTTTGAAATTGCTTTCCAATACCAATTGCTACCCAAACTTCATGTGCCCCATCATTCTTCTCACTCCAATACCCAATGCTATACTTCTTCTCAATTTTGAAATTGCTTTCCAATACCTTGCTACCACCCCAGTGTAATTTTATCTCACCTTATTTGAAATCTCCGCCCAAACTTGCTGCCCCATCATTCTTCTCATTCCAATTGATACCCAATACTTCTTCTCCCAAACTTCTTCATCTGCCCCATATATCATTCTTCTCATTCCAATCGATACCCAATACTTCTTCTCATCATTTCAATTTTGAAATTGCATCCCAATTGCTAGTTGCTAACTTCACTGCCCAATATTCAATTTCATTGTAATCCCATCTCATTCGGCCAACCTTCGCCCAAACTTCATCTCACAATTTGACCTCTTTAAAATTTACCTTGTAAAATTGTAGTTGATGAGATTCGAACCTAAAACATTTAAATTAATATATCAACTTCTAACCACTCCATCCATACAACCTTTTGGTTAGTATGTTATTCTTCTTGATGTACTCCTTTCTTTTCACAAATACTTGATATCCATGGTAGCTTCATGCAATCTTCAATTCACGTCATCTTCTTCTTCGAATTTGGTGAGTGGATGAGACTTTAAGTATACATATCATATGCATACATCTTCCCCTGTTTTTCTCTTTTTAACCTATTAAATAATTTTCCGTTCATGGTCTATGACACATCTAGACTTAATCAAATAAAATTGGGAGTTCTACAAATTACAATTTGGCATATCATAATCTATTACAAAAAACTTTTAACTTGACGTCGAAAATTATAAATACGTAATTAAATGAATTTGATAGATTCTTAGTCACCCAGGAAAAAGAGTCCTACCTCTCATAGGTGAGATTTACTTATGTTAGGAACAAGTATATTAAGTAGATTTTGATGATACCAAATAGTTTGATAAATTTATGTCCCAAATTATTTTTTATTTCTAGACTTAAAGAAATTTTTCATGTAAATTCGAAAGGTCAACTTTTAGAATGAACTTTACTAACCAGAAAGTAAAAATTCTGGAAAGTAAACTAAATTTGATAAGTAACCTTACAATATTTAAGTCTTGGAATGTTGTAATAGTAACTTCCAAAATGTCATTTTTCAAAAAGTCAAGGATCCGTAAAGCTGATGAGAGCTAATAGAGTTGTGTATTCAATAGCAATAATACAATGTACGTTTTACAGGTATATATAAGAAGGAAGTCCCAGAGAGACTGAGATAGGGAATCATAATCAAACACAAATACATAGAGTCCTAATACTCCCCCTCAAGCACAAGATACACTGGTGACTTGTAGCTTATCCCTAAGAAATGAGAACCGAGAACCAGGTAGAGCCTTTGTAAAGATATCTGCCAACTGATCCTTGGTTGAAATAAAGTTAACCTGTATATCACCATTCGCAACTCTGTCTCTAACAAAATGGTAGTCAATTTCTATATGCTTGGTTTTAGCATGAAAATAGGGTTCGCACACATATATGTAGCTCCAAGATTATCACACCAAAGCTTGGGAGCGGGCACATTGGTTATGCCGATTTCTCGTAGGAGAGAGAGAGTCCAGATTACCTCGGCACAGACATCTGCTAAAGCTTTACACTCGGCTTCAGTAGATGATCTAACAATTGTAACACCCCGTGTTACGACCTTCAAATCCGAATTAATTATTAAATTAATTTTGTTAATTAAAATAATTAACAGGGATTTAACCTAATTATAATTCTCTTAATTAATCTATACGGTCCTTGATGGATCGTGGACCTTTGCCTGAACTAGAAACCCTAAGGCCGTAGGGAATAAGGAAAGTGGGCCTTATTATTATGACTATGAATAGGTTTCCCTTAAACATATAAATAGAAGATTAGGAAGCAGATAGAACCCTTCCTCACCTCCTACTTACTCGAAAATACTCTCAAGAAATCCAGCCGAGGAAATCCCCCACCAGTAAGCTTAGGAAGATCAATTGGGAGAAGAATCTTAGGGAAGAACCTTAGTAGCCAAGGGAATCGATTAGGGCTAAGAGGTAACCCATGTCTTACAAAACCTATTTTCCTTGCTATATCTTGATTATTGGCT